ATCTGACTTGTGTCCATTTATCCTCTTGCGTAGTGACTGTCCAGTTTGGCCAATGTACATAGCAGAGGGGCTGAAGAAGTGGGGTTTTTACCCACGAAAGCTTATGCCCAAATAAATCTGTTAGTCTTTAAGGTGCCACCAGACTCCTCGTTGTTTCCTTTTATTTGTTTTAAACCTGCTGCCTATTAATTTCATTTAGTGACCCCTAGTTCTTGTGTTATGAGGAGTAAATAACACTTCCTTATTTACTTTCTCCACACCAGTCATGATTTTATAGACCTCTGTCATATCCCCCCTTAGTCATCTCTTTTCCAATATGAAAAGTCCCAATCTTATTGATCCATACCCCTAATCATTTTTGTTGCCCTTTTCTGAACCTTTTCCAATTCAAATATATCTTTTTTGAGATGGGACAACCACATCTGTACACAATATTCAAGATGTGGGCATACCATTGATTTATATAGAGGCAATATGATATTTTATGTCTTATTTTCTATTCCTTTCTTAATGATTTCCAACACTCTGTTAGATTTTTTGACTGCCGCTACACATTGAGTGGATGTTTTCAGAGAACTATCCACAATGACTCCAAGATATCTTTCTTGAGTGGTAACAGCTAATATAGACCCATCATTTTATATGTATAGTTGGGATTATGTTTTCCAATGTGCATTATTTTGCATTTATCAACATTGAATTTAATTTGCCATTTTGTTGCCTAGTCATCCAAGTTTTGTGAGATCCCTTTGTAACTCTTTGCAGTCAGCTTGGAACTTAACTATCTTGAGTAGTTTTGTATCATCTGTAAATTTTGCCACCTCACTGTTCACCCCTTTTTCCAGATCATTTATGAATATGTTGAATAGTACTGGTCCCAGCACAGGCCCCTGGGGGACACCACTATTTACCTCTCTCCATTCTGAAAACTGACCATTAATTCCTACCGTTTGTTTCCTACCTTTTAACCAGATACAGATCCATGAGAGGACCTTCCCTTTTATCCCATGACAGTTTACTTTGCTTAAGAGCCTTTGATGAGGGACCTTGTCAAAGGCTTTCTAAAAATCTAAGTACATTATATCCACTAGAGCCACATTGTCCGCATGCTTGTTGACTCCCTCAAAGAATTCTAGTAGATTGGTGAGGCATGATTTCCCTTTAAAAAAACTATGTTGACTCTTTCCCAACAAATTATGTTCATCTATGTGTCTGACAATTCCGTTCTTTACTATAGTTTCAACCAGTTTGCCTGGTACTGAAGTCAGGCTTACTGGCCTGTAATTGCTGGGATCACTTCTGGAGCTCTTTTTAAAAATTGGCGTAACATTAGCTGTCCTCCAGTCATCTGGTATAGAAGCTGATTTAAATGATAGGTTACAAACCACAGTTAGTAGTTCTGCAATTTCATATTTGAGTTCCTTCAGAACTCGTGGGTGAATGCCATCTGGTTCTGGTGACTTATTGCTGTTTAGTTTATCAATTTATTCCCAAACCTCCTATACTGACACCTCAATCTGGGACAGTTCCTCAGTTTTGTCACCTAAAACGAATGGCTCAGGTTTGGGAATCTCCCTCACATCCTTGGCCATGAAGACCGATGCAAAGATGGCATTTAATTTCTCCGCAATGGCCTTATCATCCTTGAGTGCTCCTTTAGCATCTCGATCGTCCAGTGGCCCCACTAGTTGTTTAGCAGGCTTCCTGTTTCTGATGTACTTAATTTTGTTTTGCTGTTACTTTTTCAACATTTGAACCTGCTTTACTGTGTGTTGAGGTGGAACTCAAACTCCAGGACCTGGATAAGAGCTTATTCCTGCATGGGGCTGCCCTATCCATATGTGCAGCCAGGGCCTAACTTCCAGAGCTCTGGAGACTGACAGTCCCATCCACAGTCAGTGGGAGCCGCAAGAGCTCAGCACCTCTGAAAAAGAGGCCACGAGAGTCCTGAACACAGAGATGCTAAGCAAAGCTAACGCAGAGGTGCCCATGTTCCAAACAGCAACACAATTCCACAACCAGGCAGAAAGAATGCACGTACGCTCACACACACACTAAATGGCACACACACACATCCACACACACGTGCACACACTTTACAAGAGTAAACCTTAGCCTTTCCTTAGCTCAGTAATTCTCGACCTTTGCTATGATGGGAGCCCTGTCCCAGCTAGCCAGGACCCCTATCCCCCCAAGTCAGCTGCATTAAAAAGTTTGAGGGCCCCATGCTCCAGGTGATCTGCCACAGGACATTTACTAGTGGATTGTGATGATGGTGGAGCAGGGAATATGTTACCCCCTCTCCAGAGGGGCTGAGCTAGCATTCCTGTGTGTATCCTGGGGACTTTCAGGTTGAGGTCTGCCTGGTTCAACCCAAATTGCTCTGTGGAGATCTGATCCCTCTCCCCCCTCCTGCATATCTCCAGTGTAGGATCTTCCCTTTATTTTTATTTTTCAACCAGCCATGAAGCAATCAGACAAATCCATCCCTATTCCACGCTGTGCAGAATGGAGCCCCAGCACTGCCAGGCAGGTCATGAGCCTCATGGAGCCAGACTGAATTCAGACTTGAAATATTCAGAGTGAAATTTAAAGGAGTAAAACAAATCCATAAAACTCAGTCACTGGAACCCATGAGACCCTGAATAGCAGATCTGCACAACATCAGCATAAGGCTTTAGGGCTTTTCTCCTCCAGTACTCCAGAGGTGACAAACAAACACTCACTGAGTTCTAATTCTATCCAGCAGGGACAGTGGTTCCACAACCATCTGGTATGTCCATGCTCCCCCTCCTAGGCAAAATGAACCCTTAACATCCAGTAGTAAGAGGGGATTGAATCCAGGGGCTGGGCACACAACTGTGCATAATAAAGAACACTGTGCTCACCAGTAAACCCCATCCATGCAGTATGGAAGGGGAATGGAGGGGATGGACAGAACTTGGGGTCTACTGCTCCCAAAATACAGCTCCTTAACTAGGGAGTACAGCAGATTCCTCTGCCTTGTGCTCTTGGGAGAAGCTCATCCCAGCTGGCAGGCATCAACGCCACTGAAATCTATGCACATGGTGCCCAGATACCACAGTGATAGGCATGGAATAAAAACCTAGATAGAGACTGCAGGCACATAGGCAGAGAGACAGACAGATAGATGCAGAGATAGATACTGCCTGTCATTCATAGATTTGTTCTGTAACTTTAACATTATTGGAAGGTGATCTTGCATTCAATTTCTGATGCATATGAAGTGATGAGTGAGTCCCTGGTCTGGGCCTTATTAACACCCACTTTCTTTGTTTCTTTGTTGCAGACATCAGAGATGACCAAGACATATGCCAAACCCAAAGAGATGTCAGAGCTTGTCAGCTCCCAGTCATGGATGGATGAAGCCCTGAGCTCCCAAGATGAAATGAAGGAAGAAGACAGCAGACAAGCCCCCTATGGAATGATGGCTGGCTTGAACGAAGAACATGACAGCATCGAGGAGGAGGAAGAGGAGGAGGATGGAGAAAAGCCTAAGAGAAGAGGACCAAAGAAGAAGAAAATGACCAAGGCACGGCTGGAGCGGTTCAGGGCCCGGCGGGTCAAGGCTAATGCCAGGGAGCGCACTCGGATGCATGGTCTGAATGATGCTCTGGATAATCTGAGGCGGGTGATGCCTTGTTACTCCAAGACTCAGAAGCTGTCCAAGATTGAGACTCTGAGGCTTGCAAGGAATTACATATGGGCTCTGTCTGAGGTGCTGGAGACTGGGCAGACCCCAGAAGGGAAGGGTTTTGTGGAGATGCTTTGCAAAGGTTTGTCACAGCCAACCAGTAACCTAGTTGCTGGCTGTCTACAGCTGGGGCCTCAGTCCCTCTTCCTTGAGAAGCATGAAGAGAAGTCCCCAGTGTGTGACTCTGCCATACCCAGCCATACCTTCAACTACCAATCCCCAGGACTGCCGAGCCCCCCCTATGGGAACATGGAAACCCACCTCTTACATCTAAAGCCTCCTACCTTCAAAAGTTTGGTGGATCCTTCCTTTGGGAGCCACCACCCAGACTGCACCACTCCACCATATGAAGGGCCCCTGACGCCTCCCTTGAGCATCAGTGGGAACTTCTCCTTGAAGCAGGATGGGTCTCCAGACCTGGACAAGTCCTACACCTTCATGGCCCACTACCCTTCGGTGAGCCTGGCCGGAGCTCATGGACACACGTCTCATTTCCAAAGCACAGTGCCCCGCTACGAGCTCCCCATAGACATGAGCTACGAGTCCTACCCGCACCATGTGGTTGGGCCCCAGCTCAACGCCATATTTAATGAATAATGAGAAAGTTGAGAGGTAGACATGAACATATGAGAATCAAGAGAAATACAGCCAGGCGGTGTAGATGTTTCTGGAGTGAACACGACTGGGACGAGGATATCACTGCTCCAAAGCTGTATGAAAGATCTTTGGACTGGTCTCATTGAGACACCTCTATGAAAATCTCTGCTAGCCCTTTTCACACTGTCTTGACAATTGTTTAGTTGTGCTATTTTGCTGGTTTTCACGTTTGTCCCCAGAAACTCCGTGACTGTCTCCTTCTTCGTTTATTGACAGTCAAGCACACACTGGGATGATCACTTTGGCTCAATGTTTCATAACTGCCTCCGAAAGGAGCTTGAATCAAGAATCAAGAAAGAGAGATAAACAGACAGCTAGACTAGAACCAGAAAAAGATACTGCAGAAATCTCCATCCCTGCCAGGGGCGAAGAAGGATCAGTGCAGTAGCCACTGGACAAATCTTCTCTTTGTCTGTTGCCAGTCAAATAGGGCTCCCTTTAGCTCCTTCTTTGGGGTGTCTTGGCATCAAAACCCTGCCTTTGCACCCAGACTTCATCCTGAGGAATCCCACCAACACAATTTAGATGCAAGACACTCCCAGAGTGTGGATACTCAGCCACATGATAAATAACCACTGTTCTGAGGGCAGCATGCAGGGTTTTTTAGTTCTGAATGATGAGCACAACATGGACTATGCTCCTGGGAAAGGCAGTTCAGCTTTTCCCTAGTGGTCTCTCAAGTCCAGCTGTGGCTATATTGGCTGGGGAAGGTGGCGATTATCTGAACCAGTTACAGACAACACTAAAATAAATGTGCAAAAAGACATATGTGGTGACGGGTTCTCCCAGCCAGCTCTTCAATGCATTTGATATCCTCCCAGCTCCCAAACATTCCCTGTACTCCTAGCAGGAACAAAATTATTATTCCCTCCTGAAACGTCTATCTCAATGGAGAAAACAAGCTTGAAATCCTGGACACTTTGTCTTCACTGTCCCCTTCTCAATCAGGCACTAGAAGATCCGCCCAGGTTCAAAGCTTCAAGGAAATCAAATCGCCTCCTACATCTACTGCTGTCGTGAGGCTGCTGATCTCCCCTCCCCAGTGAAATCCGGTCCCGCAGGACTTTTTGTGTTGATCAAAACCAGCATGAGATTATCAGAGCATGAAACCCTTTTTAAGGTCATGTCTGAGACCATGTGCAGAAACATGTGGTGCAGTTACATGTAACCTGCGGAGAAACAGAAGACTCCAAACCGTAAGACTCTTTACCTTGCAGAAGCACAAATATCTGTCACTTAAAACTTGGACATAATCATTAAAAAAGAGTTTTAAACTAAACCACAGACACATGGCCAGAGCAAATGTGTCACTATGGTTTGTATTATATTTATCATACCCTGTGTTTCGAAAACAGATCCTGCCAAAATAAGTGTGTCTTAAGTTCCTGTCTTATTTATTATTTAACTGGGTCTAATTTATTTTCTTTCCATTTTACAGAAAATGTGGAATGTGCTAAATAACCTGCTTGTTTCCCAATCAACTTTAAAGTGTCTAGTTGGAGTTTTAGCTTTGTGGGGAAATGCATGTAGGTTTTTGCAGTGCTGTTGCTCCATGATTATTTATTAGACATTATTTATTTAATTTATTCTCCCTCTGCTGCTTCTGTGCCCATCTTCTGGTTATTAAACCAAGTATTTAACCAAGGAATTGCATATTTAATGTTGCCCTTTTTCGTTTCTTCAAAGATCTTTGTAGGACCTTGCCCATCAGTTCCTGATTCTGTCCCTAAACACTTCTATACGAGCAATAACTTTTAAAGGCTATGCAATGCAATTATTTTTCTTTTCTTTTCTTTTCTTTTCAAGAAAAGCCAGGCAACTATTTTTGGAATCCCACTCTACAGCTGTTGGCCTAGAGAGCCCTTTATGGGGAAGCCTCACTATTTTGCAGAGGAAATTTGTATAGAGTTTGGAATTTTGTAATGTCTCGAACTCCAAAGGAACCTGTTTGTACAGCCCCTCGGATTATTATTGGTTCATTTTGTTTTGTACTAAGAGCAAACATTCTATCCTTTTGTAAAGAAAGCAAAATCGGCTTGGTGGCTCAAATAAAGCTGTGGCTCTTGTTTTAAACGGTCTTGCTCAGGGCTGTGGATTGTTCTCGTCTTTTCTCTTTTTCTGCTCTTGCTGAATCCAGGGCAGATGGCCAGTTGGCTGGCCTCCCACCAACCATGTTGCACAGACTCTCACTCCAGCTGTAACGGTGTTGGTGTCAGGGCCTTGGCCACCTCCAATGAAAGCAAGGAAAGTGATTCCCATTGACTTCAGTAGGAGCTTGATTGGGCTCTGCACATCTCAGAACAGGGTGTAATGTGTGCTGGGATGGGGTGAACCACACATTCAGAATGGTGGGGGGTCACATGTGCATGCACCCACACCAGACCAGTCTCCATATAGTAGGTTGCACAATTGACTTAGCTCCATATTACCCATCTGACAGCAGAGAGGTCCATTTACCAGCACTGTAGAAACCTGGGTTCTGTTCCCACCTCTGCCAGTTTGGCCAAGTCCCTTCTCTCTGTGGCTCAGGTTTGCCATCTATGTTACTATGTATTTTATAGGCACATCTAGAGGCCTCAGGGCTCTAGCAGCACCGCCCAGAGCCATGGCATGCTTAATAGATATTAAGGCTAGAAGGGACTGGTCTACTCATCCAATCGGAGCTCCTGCAAAGCACTGCCCAGAGGTTCCTGCCCTGTGACCAGCAATCTGGTTGAGCTAGAGCAGATCTTTATGGGTACGTTCACACTGCAATAACAGACCCAGCACACAGTCTCAGCTGGCCCAGGTCAGTTGACTTGGGATCGCAAGGCTTGGGCTGTGAGGCTAAAAATTGCAGTGGAGATGTTTAGACTGTGGCTGGAGCCAAGGTCTGAACCCCATGAGGGTCTAAGAGCCCAGGGTCCAGCTCAAGATCGAACGTCTACACTGCTATTTTTAGCTTCACAACCCAAGCTCCACAAGTCTGAGTCAATTGATCTGGGCTCTGAGGCTTGGTGCCATGGGTTTGCTATTGCAGTGTAGCTGTACCTTAGAAAGAGACACCCAGGCTTCACTCAACGACTCCAGGTGATGGAGAGCCCTCCTCACCCTCAGCAGAAGGGCCAGGTGCCAAGCACTTACACGTCTCTCGCACATTACGGCACCACTGGTAAAAAGGCACGGATTTGGGGAGACACCCTCCCGCACCCAGCACCCATGGCCAGGGGGAAGGGGACTGAGCATTCCCCCAGGCAGTGCTGATGCAGTTTTCTTCTCCCCGGCCGACCCCAGAGATGGGTAATGACTCATTGGAGAATGCCGTCCTGGGAACAAGTGATTGCTAGGGGTATGGGCTCTGGGCCCTCTCCACTAGGAACTGACTGACCAGACACACTGCTCACTCCAAACCAGCCAGTGCACAGCCTTGAGCTGGTGCCGTGGGGATGAGAAGCTCCATGTTCTATTCCCTGGTTCCTGAGGGGGATTAGCTAGGCTCATTATTCAGCGTGGGGAGATCACAGAAAAAGCCCATGTGCTGCTCAAACCACTTGAGGTCTTGAGTCAATCCACATAGCAAACTGGCCCCTCCACTGGACAGCTCAGAGCAATCACCCTCCAGCCATGTTAACAGAATTGGGGGAGGGATAGCTCAGTGGTCTGAGCATTGGCCTGCTAAACCCGGGGTTGTGAGTTCAATCCTTGAGGGGACCCTTTAGGGATATGGGGCAAAAATTGGTTGGATGATTTAATTGGGGATTGGTCCTGCTTTGAGCAGGGGGTTGGACTAGATGATCTCCTGGGGTCCCTTCCAACCCTGATATTCTATAATTCTATGAATTGCCCAAGGCAGGTCAGTAACACCGGAAGCACGAAGCGGGGAAGTGTCCTGCCCAAGCCCGACACAGAGTCAGTGACAGGGCTAGCAATAGAACCCAGGAATCCTGACTTCCAGCACTCCCTGCTCCAACCACGAGACACCATTCCTCTCACAAAGGCAGATAAAGATACCAGGAGTCCTGATTCCCAGTCCTTTGCTCTAAGCACTCGAATCAGGGATTGCTATTGACTAGCCCCTTTCTCTAACCACTGTACCACACTCCCTCACACCACTGGGGATGGAACCCAAGATATTAATGTAACTGTTATTATAGACCAATGGTAATGGATCATCCTCCCCATCCCCATGACATGTGGCATGAGGGCCAAAACTCAAGCTCCCTTTGCATCATGGGACCTGCCCAGCAGGGCCCATCTCAGCAGCAGCTGATCCTTATGTAAGGGGACTGTTGTCCCCTTACTAAAACTCAGTGATGGGTTTTGGTTGCTAGCTTCCAGTACCAAAAGGAAGGGGAAGGATCGGTGGGAAACCAGTACCCTGAGACTGACAGTCCCCGGGGCAATGGGGAGAGGCCAATGCTCCAGGACAGCTTGATTGACAGGGCGGGCAGGCTAATGAGGGAGTCAGGAGGCCAGGGGGGGGTCCCATCCTCCATGAGAGCTGGAACTGACTGGGCCAGAGCAGGCCAAGCTAAGGAGAGAGCAGGGGCCAGAGAGAACCAGAGAAGCAGCCGAGGGAGCAGGTCAGTGCTGGGGGCAGAGCTGCAGCAACCGGGGCCAGAGAAGCAGCCCAGGTCGCTGGAGGCAGAGCAGCAGCAGTGCTGGGACGTGTGAGGGACGGGCTGTGAACTGCCCTGACATTCCAGAGTCGCTGGTTGTGATGTCCCCGTGCCACAGAGCAGGGTGATGGGTTTTCCTGCAATGGGTTCCCTTTTTCTCCTGATTTTTTTAATGGATTGCTGTTTAATAAATTGTACTTGCTTTGAACTGTATGTGATGATCAGTGGGTCAGGGAAGCATCCAGAGCGGAGAGAGCATCCCGGAGCAGGGACACCCTCGCCCCTGCCCTACATGACCATGACAAGGTTGGGGGTGGAGCCCCCCAGGAATCCTGGGCCCAGCCTTGTCGGGGTTACGAGGACTCTGCCACAGGAGAGTGCAAGGGGAGCCCTTGAGGTCAGGCAGGCCTCTGGGTAAAGGGAGTGGGAGTGAGGACTCAGATCCTTTCACCAGCCCATTCCACTGGGGTCATATATAAGCCACGAAAGTTCCCCACAATAGCAGGACCATTCCCCTGCTTACACTTTCAACTCAGTCCTGGCTGCAACAAGAATCTCTGACCTTGGGGCTCCCCTTGGTCTACTCCCTGGTCTAGTGCCATGTGTCCTTCCCCAGCAGCAGCAGGACCCAGAGCACCACAGATACACACTCCATCAGCACATGTGTCTTGTACAGCTCAGTGCGTTGCTGCTCCCCAGCCCTGTGCACTGCGGCGCCTGCTGCTGCCAGCAGCCCCTGCCTCCCACGTGCCGAACCCAATGGGAGCCACCAAAGTTATCTAAGCCCTGCAAGATGCACGGGACAGGCTGCTCCTCGCCCCTGGTGCAGAGTGAGGGGGGAGGCGGAGGGTCGGGGGCCCTCTGGAGGGATGGGCAGCTGCAGCCTAGCTGCAAGGGGAGGAGAGAGGGTAGCAAGCAGCAGCAATGAACAGGGGGATGGCCGTGCTGGGGGAGCAAGGCTCCCAAGTCAGCCACATGGCTCCCCTGGCCAGGCAGGCCAAAGCCACCTCGCTCGGCTGCTCCCACTGCTTCTGCTCCATCACGTCCGGCTGGAGAGCAGAGCTGGAAACTCACCAGCTGGGTGCAGGGTGCCAAGACCACGTCACTGCTTGCTCAGCCTGAAGGAGATGGGACAACCTGGGTGCTCCCAGGACGTAGGGGTGGGACTATGTGCAGGGTCAGTGAGAGCCCTGGAGGGAGAGGGAGACTCACCCCGAGGACAGGACAGGCATTGATATTGCTCCTGCCTCCCTCTGGACTACAGAGGGGAAGCGTGCTGACCCTCTGGCCCCCTCGTGTCCCCAGCTGCCCTTGCTACACACGTATGCACACAGATATATACACACATTGATGCACATGCACTCAACTGCACACACACGGACACACACATGCACACAACTGCACACACACATACACGGGCACACACATGCACACAACTGCACACACACATGGATGCATATATACACGGTCACACACATATGCACACAGCGCCATACACAGTCTCAGATACACACACGGCCACATATACATGGGCACACACACATGCACACAACTACACACATACAGATTCATGCTTGCCACACACACCCCAGTCTCAACGCGCTCAAGCTGAACACTGCTGCACTGCTGCAGGACAGTGGTTGACCATTTCTTGCCAGACGCCTGGCCTCCCAGGTCTGGCTTGCAGGAAGCAGTTTAGTTTGAAGGGGTAAAGTGCCCAGTCCTAGTGCACGCACGCCGGGGCCATGGAGCTGATCACAGGGGCAGGGGGGCAGGCATTGCTGGCAGCCCCGTTAGAGTAGTGGCAGCAGGCCAGCCCGGAAAGGGCCGTCTCTGGGTAGCAGGCGGATCTGGGGCACAGCTGGACTCTGGGTACAGTTAGTTTTATATTAGCCAAGTAGGAGCAGCAATTGACAACGTGCCCAATTCCCAGCGTTCGGTGTGAGCTCCCCAGCCCTGCGCTGAACTGGGCTGCTCTGGGAGCTCAGCCACAGCTGCCGGCCAGGCCCCAGCTTGCAGCTGTTCAGGAGCATTCTTTCCCAGAAGAGCTTTGGAGGGGGGAGAAATGAGCAATAACCACACAATGTGTGTGTGTGAGGGTGTGTTCACCATTGTGTGCATGTGTTTGCATATTCTCTCTGATATTCTCTGTGTGTGTATCCAATGTGTGTGTGAGGGGTGCGTGTATGTGCATACATGTATCCGATGTGTGTGTTTGTGTGTATCCAATGTGTGTGTGAGGGGTGCGTGTATGTGCATACATGTATCCGATGTGTGTGTTTGTGTGTAGGGGATGTGTGTGTGCATACATGTATCTGATGTGTTTGTGTGTGTGTGTGTGTGCGCGCGCACGTGCATTGTGTCTATCTACATCCAATCTGTGTGACTCTGTATCCATCTCATCAGCGGGATCCCACATCACGGGGGAAGGGCCGACATCCCAGAAAGTGGGTGCAGCTCAGTGAGGGCTGGGTG